GCCAATGGCTGAGCTGTCTTCATCATCGCCGAAGGCCACAAGGGGGATCGGGGTTGCGAGTACTTTATCCTAACTGCTGTACTGAAGAGCATTGATCTGATTGACCTAAGAGGGCAAGCTTTGGCTGGTTAGTATGGTCTAATTTGGCCTCTCTGATCTTTCTCTATTGATGGTCATACAACAATATCTAGATTTTTTTATTATGGATGTTTTAGTATTTTGAAATGGACTTTAACTTAAGTATTTTTTTTATGTTTGTGAAAGAAGTCTCTTAGGCTCACCAAGTCTGTATTTATTTGATACAGTAAAAATGTAATATTGTGAAATATTATAAAAATTTAAAAGAACTTTTTTAGAGTTTTCTATTTTAATATATAAATGTTATTTGTTTCTGTGATGGCAAAGCTGAATTTTCAGCAGCCATTACTCCAGTCTTCAGTGTCACATGATCCTTCAGAAATTATTCTTATATGCTGATTTATTATCAGAAACTGTTAATAATAACAGTGCTGCTTAATATTTTTTTGGAACCTGTGACTTTTTTCTTTGATTCTTTGATGAATACAAATGTGACGAGAGGGGCGGGTGGAGTACATGCTAATGCGCGACACCTGTGCCACTCACCGGTCTCGAGTCCCACGGAGGAGCTCCGGAAGGATAAAAGGAGGAGTGACGACAGTGTTGGACGAGAGAGGACCAGGCCTGGATTTTATTTTGTGTTTTGTGTGCGGCAGTCGTCCGCGAGGGGCTGCCGCTTTACTTTCATTTCGTGTTTGTTTATTTTATTAAGTGGTTTAAATGTTCGCCGGTTCACGTCTCCTTCTTCCCGACCTACGAACTGTGTTACAACAAAGTTTAAAAGAACAGCATTTATTCAAAATAGAAATATTTTCTAACAATATGAGTCTTTACGATCACTTTTTATCTATTTAACACATCCTTGCTGAAAAAAAGCATTAGTTTCTTAAAAAAAAAAAAAAAAAGAAAGAAAGAAATATGCACTGACTCCAACCTTATCTAGTAGTGTATATTGTAACACAAAAATTCTATTTTAAATAAATAATAATCACGTCACAGCTGAGGATAGTTGCTAGTAATGTGTTTGGGATGTGCCCATGAGAAAAAGTTCAAATTGCAAGCTTCCAGGGGGTCCCACACTATTTGAGCAGTGCCTTTAAGATGAATGCTAACGGATACCTCTCTCCAGGTATTACAGGCCTCCCAAGACTCACCAAAGAGAGTTTCCAAATAGCAATTTGTTTGCAAATGCAACATGTGTCTTAGCTCCATTACACTGTCACCCTTCTTACTAGGGTTTGCAAGACAGGGTGAAATGCAGAGACTTTTCACCCAGCTGTGGTCCTCTCAAACTGTCTAACAGTGACAGGCTTGACAGTGTGCACCAATATAGAGCCTCTAGCTGCTCTGACTGAAGTGTAGGAGGGAAGAAGTCGTCTTTCATTTTCTTCAGGTCGTGGCAGTTCGCTGAGAGAGAACACATTGTTATACCCGCTTAAGGCCAATTATCCAAGCTCTTCCTCAAATGAATTTGACATTGTTTGAGAAGATCAGTGTGTTATTGTCATCAGTGTGACAGAATTATTGCTGCATTGTTCCATGTTCATAATTATTTCTTTGTTTTTTAACATCAGTTGAATCTCAAAGATTTTTGCCTTTTGATTGTCCTGTGAATTTAACAATAAATTACTATTACTTGATCAGTGGCATGTCCAGACTAGTTTTACTCCAGGATACACTGGTAACACTTTAGTATAGCGACCAATTCTCACTATTAACTAGTTGCTTATTAGCATGCCTGTTATTGATGTATTGGCTGTTTATTAGTACATATAAAACACATATTCTGCATGACCATATTCCACATCCCTAATCCTACCCATACCTAAACTCAACAACTACCTTACTAACTATTAATAAGCAACAAATTAGGAGTTTATTGAGGCAAAAGTCATAGTTCATGGTTTATTAATGGCAAGAATAGGACCTTAAAATAAAGTGTGACTGATGCACTCATTCAACAAGGTCAAAAGCATAATCTGATTTAATAATCTGATTTTCTTACAACCAACATGTTATGCAGTTAATTTACAAAGATACTATCCACTTTTTTTTTTTTTTTTTTTTACGTAAGAGTGGACAACAATTTCAAACTTGAATGTGCAGGACATCTGCTGTCAGCCACTTCCAGTTATTTAAAAAAACAGTTTGTTATGCTGCTTCGTGTTGCATACTGGTATCATATTATTTTAATTTAAGATTAATTTACTGTAATGCTCTTTATGTATTCATAAACACATTGAATTGTAATGCAAATAGTTTTAGCTTTGTTATTCCTCTAGTTATTTACCTGTAGTGGTTAGCATCAACTATAGCAAAAAATAAGCTAATTTTATCACACAAGGTACAAGAGTTTATTATTTGCTTCTCACAATAAACTAATGCAATCAAACCAAAACTGGTTACTAGTAGATAACTGTATAAATAAGCTGCTCTGGTGGCAAGAAGTTGCATCAGGGGCAACTTGATGCAAACTGCTAATTGTTGGCTAATCAGTTTGTGTTCTTATATTTTTATTTTAGATAGCTCTTTGATTAGCTGCCATTTCTTGAAGCTACTTCCCATTCCGATTTAATCCAAGTAGCTTTATCAGATTTTCTCGAAGTTCTCTTCTCTTGGGAAATAGTTAAAGTTGGACCACATGGTTAGGACCACCCATGTTATCGTGACCTGATGTTGTTATATAGTGATACAGAACTCTATGGCTATATGAGTCCAGTTGCCCTTGGTGTGTCGGCTTGAGCCAGACAGAGTGCTATTTCTTTGCTCTTTGATTTATTTGATGAAGTTGTCTTTTGCCTCACAACTCAATTGCCCAAGAGCTGCAGCCTCTCTGCCTGTTTAGAGCCGCAATCCAGCAGCTTGTAAATCAGAATTCGCAACTACCCTCTCATACTTGCGCACACTTACACTCTCTCACTCATCCGAAGAAGAGAAGCCACCACGGGATAGGGAGTAGGACTGATTAAGACAGTCAAGAATTTGATTCCTGTTGCTTTATTCCTCTTGAGAGTGGCTGCAGGATATTAATCTGGCCAGTGTTGCTTATGAGGACTTGCTACAGGCTCTTGAGCACTTTATTGTGGAATTACGTTTTGTTCTCAATCACGCTACCTAAGTGCTTGAGGAAGTCTTTGCTGCAATTTGAACAAGCATCTGTGTCCTTTCATCATTTAATTTTTTATTTTTCATTTTCAAGCATCCTGAGCCGTCTGTCTTTTCTGTTTTTAAACATAATGAAACGTGACAAGGAGGTGCTTGTTATTGACATGCGAGTTCTCAGCAAAAATTATTTTCTTAATGAGTATTTTTGTTTTGTTTTCCATTAAAAAATGTAAACATCTTTACAACAAGGTAAGATTACTTGAGAAACAAGTAAAGATATTGAAGGCTTGTTTTCAAAGAATGTATTTTGAATTGCAAAATTTTTTTTCAGCATAAAACTTACTACATTTTCTAACGAAAGAATATTTTAGGAAGAAAATATTTGCATAATATCTTATGCAATTCAGTTTTTCTCGTCAAATAAATGTGTCTAGTTTTAAGGATGTTTTAGTTTTATTACAAATTTACTCATTAAGAAAGTAGTTTTTGCAGTTACAACAGATTCTCTGTCCAACCTAACTGAATTTTGAAATATAGATGGTTTTATTAGTTGGCAAAACAAATCAAAGCAGATTCGCATGGACTTGAGCATAATACCCCCATCTACAGCATTTTCCATTGCTACAGATGAAATATGCGGCTTTATGTTTCTATGGCAACTCTATTCTGTCCTCAGATAAAAGACCCATTATGATGTTTTGCAGAGGATTGGAGACAAAGTGAGTGTTTTTCTGAGATTTTTCTTGTTAAAGGCCTGACAGTCTTCACAGTGTCCTGCAGGTAGTGTCTTGACTTGGCCTGTTAACAGCTGACCACAGACTCTAATGTGATATGGGCATATTGACACATCTTTCACATTGAAAGAGCACCAATTTGTCCCCACGTACTGTGAAAATACTCTGCTTCAGCCTACTTCCCACGTACCGCTGAGGGTTGACAATTTTTTGACGTAGCTCTCATGTATACAGGTTGACAAGATTCAATTTCCTTGTACATAGATATACGAGATTCAATCTGAGGCCCCAACATACTGTTTTCCGTTGCAGCTGGATCTGTAGAGACCAACAAGTATAGATGAAATTGCCTAGAGAAACATTTGCACTCTGCCTGCGCTTTTACCTGACGTGCACATATGTACAGGTCATTGTGTGTTTATTTATATACATGTTTTAAGACTTTGTCTGAAACTCGAATAATTGTCAATCTACAAGTATCTCTTTACCTAAAAGCTGGTGTATATTATTTTACCTAATCTAGGATTAATTTATTGAATTAATAAAGTAAGCTGCTGAATGAAGCCAGACAGAGTAATAATAATAAAGCATTGATTTTTGGCACAGCACTGCTGTCTGGAACTAATTGTATGTTGTATATAGTGATGATGTTTGTGCTGTGCTAGGCTTTTATAACTTTTTTGTACTTTTGCATACTTAACATACTTACGTACATAACGTACATAACATACTTTTGTTATTCAGTATGTAAATAGTCATTTATAATTTTTTGCTTCTAAGGCATTTTGATAACAGTTTTTTTTTCATATTTATATACCCTTTTATTTACATTACATTATCATCTTAGCTGTGTTTGCTAGTTTACAACACATGATATATGTACTCTAAACAAATATAAATAACATAAAATAAAATTAAAATAGAGAGCTTGAGAGCTTCTCTCACATGAGAATTTGCTTTGGTCAGGAATTGGATAAAAGTGTGATGGAGTAATTTAGATTCTGCTTAAGTTCATTTCCCGTTTCTATTTCTGTGTTCTGTTGTCAACCATATGATAAATCTCCTCAAACCCTCTTGTTTTAGGGGCCATTTTTGATGAGTCTGCCAAAAAGGATGATGAGGTGTTCCGCATGGCGGTGGCAGATCTCAACCTCAACAATGAGATCCTGGAGACAGAGAAGATCACTGTGTCCGTGGAGTTTGTAGATGGAAACAACCCTTTCCAAGCAGTGCAGGAAGGTACGTCATTTGAGTATTTAAATATGTTTTCAGATCATACTCTTGCACCTTTCTGGACTCATCCCTTTTAAATGTAAGGCTCATATGAGAAGTAATAACAAAAACTGGCAATAATCTAATACAGTATGTTAGGGTGACCATACGTGCCATTTTCCTAGGACGCGTCCTGGGAAAATGGCACGTATGGTCACCCTACAGTATGTGCCTCCTCAATTCAAGTTAAATTATAGTTAGAAGGGAACAAGACAAATTCGGTGGCTGGATGGACAGAGGGATAGATGAATAGATCGGTGGGTGGATATCTACATTAAATTAAATAATCAGTGGATAGGTAGATTGGTTGACAGATTAGTGGTATGTAGAAAGATATGTACTGTAGGTTAGACAAATCAGTGAGTGGGTAGATAGGTTAGACTAGTTAGATAAATTGGTGGATGCGTAGATAGATAGGTAAGATAAACTAGAGGGTGAGTGAGTAGATAGATAGTAGACAGATGGTATTGACAGGTGGGTGAGTAGATAGATCGGTTAGAAAAGCTGGTAGGTGAGTGGTTAGATAGGTTAGATAGGTGGGTAGGTAGATAGATAGGTTAGCTAAACTGGTGGATGAGTGGTAGGTGGGTGGGTAGATAGATATGTACTGTAGGGTTCATTGATCGATGGGAGGGTGGAACAACATCTAATGTAGTTTGGTAAGTGGGTAGATAGGTTAGACAGATCAGGTGGGTGGGTATCTAGATAGGTTAGAGAGGTGGGTAGATAGTATAGATAGGTGGGTGGGTAGATAGATTAGATAAACTGGCGGGTGAGTGGTTAGATAGGTGGGTAGGTAGATAGATATGTACTGTAGGTTACATTGATCGATGGCTGGGTGGGTAGATAGATAGGTTGCATAGATAAATATCTACTGTAGGTTAGTCAGATGGGTGAGTGGGCAGATAGGCTAGACAGATCAGGTGGGTGGGTATCTAGATAGGTTAGATAAATTGGTGTATGGATAGATAGGTTAGATAAACTGGTGGGTAAGTAGATAGATAGTTTAGAGAGGTGGCTGAGTAGATAGATAGGTCAAATAGATTGGTGGGTCAGTGGGTAGATAGGATAGATTGGTGGGTGAGTAGATAGATATGTACTGTAGGTTACCTCAGTCGGTTGGTCGGTGAATGGGTAGATAGATAGGTTACATAGATAGGTATGTAAATTAGGTTAGATATATCAATGAGTTGGGTATATAGATAGGTTAGATGGGTGGGTGGATAGATAGGTGGGTAGATACTGTACAGTACATACAGTGACTGCAGTGCAAAATATACAAAAATACATCATACACATGAACTGGTGGGTACTAAATGTTTTAAACAGAGCAAATGTAAAGCAGTTGTTGAGACAAACAGTTGTAGGAAGAGGAGTCAAAACAAGTCAATGTTTCATGCACACAGCGGAAGAATCGTGGAGTCTTATGGCAGTAGGCAGGAATGACCTTCAGTGGCACCCTCTCTTACACCGTTGACGGATCACGCTGTTGCTGAATGCACTCTTCATTTCAGCAAATATGCCTTGGAGAGGGTGGGAGACATTGTTCATGACGTTCATTAAGTCGGACACCATTCTGCTCTGAGCCATTACCTCCAGAGAGTCAAATAATGTTTGCATAAGACAAAAGACATGAATAGCCCACATTTGTTTACTTGCTCTTATAAAATATACGTATTATGATGTAAATAGCTTGGTTAAACCTATGAAGGAGCTTAAAGGGTAAGTATGGCTAAATTAGGTGCCTCTTTTAATCATTAGAATAAAGTCTTGCCTCAGTCCTCCACTTTATATGCTCGCTCAGCCTAACGTTATGCAATTGTCTGGATCCAACACTTTCATAGCATTCAGAGGTCAGCATTATCTCAGCCTCTAATATTTGATTTAAGATCAGTGGAATGATCTAATAATACCATGATGCTGTGGTTTCCACAAATTAGTGCTGTTAGCTCTTGGAGCTGGGCCATTTTCTGTTATCCAGCAAGAAAGGAGGACAGGTACAAGGCCTTTGGAACGCTGCCATTCATGCATCAGCAGGTTCACTATGCTCCATACAATAGCAGAGTTCAGATAACTAGCACTTAATCTAACTTTGGCATTTGGCAACTTTGGTTTTTGCCAACTTGTTTCACTATATTTAACAATGGAGCAATAAGGGATAGAGCTGCTAAATTGTTTCAAACAGACAAGGAAATAAACTCAGACAATGTGTGATACTTTACACAGGGGGGGAATCGCTAAGTAGGGATTATGGTGGTATGTTGTTTATTTGCATGCACTGTCTGCGTTGTTTTGGCACAAGATTCACTAAAGGATAGATAATAGCGCGAAAAACCTAAAAATTAGTGCTCAGTGCTATTTGTGTAGCACGGTTCTCTATCATACAGGTTGCTTCTAAGTACCAGGTTGTGGAGGATCTAAATAGCATCATTAAAATGTGCTCGACTACACCGTGCATGGATTTATGTCTCATCATGATCTTTATCTCCATTATTTGATCATCATTTTGATGAATTACTGCCGCCATGATCAACAGAAAATATGCACAAACACCTCTTTTCAATAAAAGTCTGTTTACCGGCTGCTTAGCAAGGCGGTAATAGCGCAACAATAATTGGACTAGGCAAATGGCACTGACTGAGGCATGTCTGTGCTGAGAAGAATGACAATGGCAGTATAAATAGAGGCTAGTTAAGTTGGACTGCGGGTGGTTAGTGTGTTAGTTGTAGGTTTATGAGCTGAATGTCGTACACTACAGAGATGTAGCTGTTTTATAAGTGACTATTGTTATCTGTCACATTTTGTATTTTTTTTTTTATTGGGCAAATCATCTCACATTTAATGATACAGGGCTTTGATTTAAAAATTAGTACATAAAAAGTACGTGGCTGCTAGACTCATGCTCATTAGGTAGCATCCCCTGTTTAGATATGTTAATATAAACATGCCTGACATTTCTTCTGACTTCTGACTCTCATTTAATTGTCTGTGATACTGTTACACCGGAAATCATCTCACATTTAATGATACAGGGCTTTGATTTAAAAATTAGTACATAAAAAGTACGTGGCTGCTAGACTCATGCTCATTAGGTAGCATCCCCTGTTTAGATATGTTAATGTAAACATGCCTGACATTTTTCTGACTCTCATTTAATTGTCTGTGATACTGTTACGCCGGTCGGCAAGCATCTCAGCTTTTTGTTCTCCTCCGCATCTGAATGTGGATGAATTTAGCGGCGCCGTTATCCTTTTAGCCGCATGGTGTCTTAGAGGTGAAAGGGAGAGTGGGACATGTTGTAGTTGACCCCTGTTATCTAATGGAGAGGCCTGCATTAGCTAACTACACCCTCTGCTCTTGATGGTTCTTCTCACTCACAGAAAGCGCTCCTCTTCTCCGTTTGTGTGCTTTGCCATCCTTTCTTTTGTTTACTGAAAGATTCTGAGTGAGGGAGATAATTCCAGGTGCACATGTGTTATGATTCAGCATGAGCGCAGACGATTCTGCTTCTTATGGATGTATGATTCTGGACCTTGTTATGTATACCTAATTTGTTTAAACATCTGTTTATCTTCTCAAAGTCAGCTTCCTGCTATGTGATTAGATGAAATGCATCCAGAAAAGCTTGTCTCTCATGTACAATCTGTTCTAGCTTGGAAGTTTTTAACAGGCCAAGAGATGAAAAAACAACTTTTGTCAGAATAATCCCAATATTTGACAGATTTAATAGACTCTCTAATGCTCATAGTGCATCTGTTTCCTATAGCTCTTGATTAATAAATGTAAATGAGGCAGAATTCTAAGAATTCACATTAATGGAGATTAGCATTCACGCATGCTGCTACTTGCAGGGACTATTGCAAAAGTTTGCAGCTTCTGGTGAATGCTATAGTACTGTAGGTGTTAGCAAAGTTGTGCAGAGTTTATGCAAATGAGCAGCAACAACAAATGGGAGTGCAGTCAGAGGCCTACAATAGTAGCAAACAACAGCAGATTAAATTGGCAGCTGCAGACTGGTTTTAAGAAGTCCTGGTGGTGGTGTTACATTTTTTATTCAAAAAGAACTTTTGAGGTTTTTTCCTTCATTTTTTTTTTACATACAAGATTTTTAATGTTGTTTTAATGGAATATCTTGTACTCATCAAAGGCTGTATTTATCTGATCAAAAATACAGAAAAAAATGTTTTAAAAGTTTTAATATACTTTAATTATAAATATAATTTATTTCTGTGATCAAAGTTGAATTTTCAGCATCACTACTCCAGTCTTCAGTGCCACATGATCCTTCAGAAATCATTATAATATGCTGATTTATTATCAGTGCTGGAAACTGAAAATACATTTTTTTTTTAAAGAACAGCATTTATTTAAAATTAAAATCTTTTCTAATAATATGAGTCTTTAATATCACTTGTTATCCATTTAACACATCCTTGGTGAATAAAAGTATTCATTACTTTCAAAAAAAGAAAAAAAAAAATTTACTGACCCCAAACTTTTGAACGGTAGTGTATATTGTAACACAAGATTTCATAACAGTTTTATTTCTGTATTTTTGATCAAATAAATACAGCCTTGATGAGCACAAGAAACTTCGGTAAAAAATATAAAAAATTTGACTGATCCCAAACTTTTGAACGGTAGTGTATATTAATACAAAATAAAGAATAATTAAAATACAAAGACTAATTTAATTATACAAGGCATATTTTTATGGAACTGATAAATGGAATTACCTCTAAGAATTGATTTTTTTGATTTTTTTATTTAGTTTTGACACACTTATGAGTTTATTGATGTAGTTCTGATTTAAGCATATATGCAATGAATTATACAAGATATATTTGCTATTTAAAGTAGTCTTTTACTATTTTTTTCCACATTCGCTACACACCCCTACTATGTGTCTTGGTAGAAAAAAGGCTAAAGCGAGTGATTTACACATCAAAAAAACAAAAACAAACTTG